GATCTTTCATATATTCACTTGTATTCTACTTTATGTTTGTGAGTAAGATGTTATCAGTTTGAGAGCTGTTTCATGTACACCATATGCTTTTTGTTCTCCGAGTAGGATCGTGACATATGCGGTCAAAACCTTCAGTTGCCGGTCATCGGAGTCTATAAAGTGTGTGCTTAGTTTTAGGGGTTTTTGAATTACCTAGCATCAATAAACCTTTTTAATTCCAGTTACCTGCATGAAGAGACCAAGAACAGCGAGGCCATCTTCATGGTTGAGTGCGTCCATAAGGTCGGCATATTTAGTATTGTAGCTAACAAAGTGCAACTGTCGAAGTAAAAACAGAACAAGGTTAAGCGTTTAGAGAGAATATTAAATGGTACAAAGTAAGTTAGGCATTTTTTTGCTTTAATCGTTTGCAGCTGCCTCCATTTTGGAAACAATTTAAAATTCTGAAAAAGGATTGCAAAGGAAGATCTCTGATCATCATTGTCATCATCATAATCATTATCACACTTGAACGGCTGTCAAAATAGACGTCATTCTGTCTCCAGACAGTTTTATTCCCTTGATACTCATAAGCCCATCAAATATGAGCCCAGAAAAAAAAAGCAAATTTAGGCGAGGTTGCATAAAGATGCACTGGAGAGATCTGAAACACTTGGCGAAAGAAAGTGCACAATTTAAGATCTAAAAACACTGCGTTAACGTTTAGAAACACCAGTGGATTTGGTTCTTATCTACTGAGTGAATATCCGCTTACATTAACAATCTCGTTGGAGATTTTTTTCGTGGCAATAACACTCTTATTTTGTTCACTCACGCACTCACCTCAGCGGCATAATGTTCTCCATCCACAACGTGCTCCGATCCCACTGTGTTGTTTGGTCCATAGTGAAAGTGAAACTGAACTGTGGTGTAAACATCGTTCAGACCTCCTCCACTAACATTGTACACTCCAGCAGGGAATGACATTCCCAAGGAGTAGCCATTGTTTGAGCCAGTAAAGGTTTTGTTGAGTTTCCTGTCGTAGTTTTTCAGTGTGAACGCTCCTAAGCTTGTGTCAAGAGTTGTCTCGGAGCTTTTAATGTCAATTGGTGATTGCCTTTTTCCTGTGCTGCATATACCTGCTTTATTAACTAGATATGATCAAATGATCTCTTTCAAAAAAGAATCAAGCTAATGCATGAACAAAAGGCAACGCTACAGGGAAACATTTAAAGCTAGTAGACAAATATTGAAGAAACAAAATGAGGGCAGAAGGTGTATGTTCTAAGTTGTCATTAATGATATTTGTGTTGCGATACATTTCGATGACCATCCTCACGCGTGAGGGTTCATGTGCGCCTGTTTGACCAGGAGTCAGGAGTATTTGTAGCTTTTTTTTTTTTTTTTGTGGCCTTACCTAATAGAAGCCAAAGACCACATAGGAAACAAATGTATATAATGTTATTGTTAATTGCGAGATCCTCATTTCTAGCCGGATACAAAGTAATCAAGGTCCATAATATGTTGACCTTTTGTAACTTTATGCGCAACTTAATATGTATAATATGTTTTTAACACGCAGCCTATCTTGCAACGGAATTCATTGTGCCTTGTCTGGTAAGAAAGCATTAGTTGACAAAATAATATTGTAAAATATGTGTAGTAAGAACGTTACCGGGAGCTCAGAGCAGAAGTTGACTTCTCACTCAAGTTTCTTTCTCGGCATTAAATGCGGCTTTGATTTGTGCGAGATACTTCACTTCGTGTTATTTTAATACGGTTTGCAAGATCATTAGAAGGGAAACTCTGTGCTTAATCTGCGAACGACTCCTCAATGCGCATGGTACATCGTATTATCTTGCGACTAATAGCAAACCATAATTCGCTGTCTATTTCTTGGAGTTAGCTGATTAGAAAGCCTAAACGATTGATTGCGACTCAGAATTAGAGAGAGTTGATTGTTTAATACTCGGCATGGAATAAGTATTTTACTTTTATTAAATGCTCTCTTTTTGGATAAGTTTCAGTTGGTGTTATTCTCTCCGTCAGTTCTCTTTTCATTGGCGAGAAGAGATCTAAACTGACTCGAATATCAAGTTCATTGAACAATAATAGTTTAGGGAACTAACGAAATTGTATTCTTTATTCTGGGAATTAGTTTCAGTTCGGTAAAAGTTGCGGTTTCATGGGTCGTCATCCACTTTTAAAAATAAACCAAGGCTGTCAGCAAGAAATCAACACGTAAGAATAAGAACCAGACTCTTACGATGGCCAATATTTGGTATTCGCTGGAATTGTCGAATGTGTTCATCAAAACTTAAGCAAGAAACATAGCTCAGTTACGCGAAGTGTTTTGAAGCTGAAAACGAACGACAGATCCGTTTTAATTTGATGAGTCATACATTCTGTGATAATATAATGAGAAACAAGGAAACATATTTCTGGAAAAAAATATTTCCAGGTTTTGCCAGACCTTTCCAGATAAAACTTCTCATTTTAGGTCCTTTGATGGGAGGACCATCGTTAAGACTCAGTTTATTTCAAGCAAGGTCTTCCTATAAACTTTGAGCCGTACGGACTCTTCCGGTGAGATCAACGTCCAATGACGCAATCGAGTGCTGACTCGGGTGAAACAAAGCATCTATATATTAGAACGAATATATTTGGCATACCGACCCGTATGCTCTTTTTAGAACCTGTCGATAGCAACGGATGTTTCTCAGTTGTGTTTTTAGAGACAAACTATAGGACCTGGCAAAACAAGGAAATACATTATTTCCTCGTTTTGCCAGAGCTTTAAAGAAAACGCGAAAGCCAGACTGTTCTATTATCATCAATTTTGTGGGCGTCATCCTAAGCATTTGGTGATTTAAGGCTTTAAGCTATTAACTTTTAACTAAGCAGATCATTCTTACGAGTTATGCTTTGTGCAAGCGCTTCGAAGGCGAATTAATCCTTGAAAAGGCTAGTTCTGGTTACAAATTGCTTTTATGCGTTTCACCTGCGATCACTATTCAATATATTTTTGGAATCAATCACTTAAAACCTGTACACAAATAATAGATAGCACCTATTGTCTGTGACTTGCTTACACCATTATTATACAGTTAATCAGATACCCTATTATTGAAAACGAAACCAAATTTATACCTTACCTTGAAAAACGAAGTTTAATCCTTCTGGGTGGCAAAAGTTCCTGTTTCTTGTTTCAGGTTAGGAAATGACTGTATAAAACCAGCCAAATGTTTCAAAATAAATTTTAAAAAAAGAGATCGTTGAAGATAAAGCAGGCCTTTTATGAGTGCTGCGATCGCGTCGATCACTAAAGCGAATGATAAATTCCACGGTACAATCAGCGGTCGAAGCGATCGAGGTTAACACTGAAAAAAAGTCAGATTTCATGTCCCTTTATACCTTCTAAACTAATTAAAATTAATATATTTTCAAATATTTGAAAATTCTAAGAAAGGAATATCTTTATATTTATAGTTCACTTCCACTGTCATTTGGGAATACTTGTCAAAATATATTTGGTTTGTTTTGACTACATCTCCTTTTCCTTTTTCATTACTTGCAATTCGTGGAATTTTTAAAACACCCAAAAATTCTTATTGACAAACACATATGCCATCAACGTTGCCATTTTTGAAGAAATGATCCACAAAAAGGGTGAGCTGTTGAATGAAAAAAAAAGCAAAAGAAGCTGAAAGCAAATATCAGACATCGAAATATTGGCAAAACTTTCCGCACAATTACGTAGAAACTGTGATATTGAAAAACAATGCAAAATACACAACTGTCAACTTTAAGTCTGTTGTGACAAAACATTCAAAATACACTTTACTCCCTCTTAACTGTAGACGCAAAATGGCCGTCTATAATATAATTTTCAGGAGGGGTAAATACCCACCCCTCTATTGAGGGTGTGCACCCCTAGAGGTATGAAATCACTTCACTGAGACAGTTTTTGCGGAAATCGAGGTTATGAATTGAGCGCACACATTCTCCGTTACAAACTATCACTGCAAACTGCGTTCTAGAAATTGGTCCATCACTGAAGAATGCTGAGAAAGTTTAGGAAGATGAGATTCACTTAGGCATACGCCATAAGAACAATCAAACTTGGGGAGGTTTTGGGAAGTTAGAACGTTACAATTTTGTTGAAGACACCCCTCCTCCCGCCTACCCCCGGACGCTATCTAGATTCGTGATTATATTATTCTATATACTGACACGTCTGCAGTGTGCGAGTGATATCATCGATAAGTTGTTATTGTCTCCAGCTACAAGCCTCTTTGACAGTTGAACAGAAAAAAAAACCTGTAAACACCCAAAAACGTCACCTGACTGTATAAAACCATCAGTTTGGGTTGTAGCGCGATGGTACACCGTAATGCCACTGGTTAACAAAGATTTATTGCACAATTTCGCCTGTTAAAAATTCAATATTGTGTAAGTTAAGGCAATATACCTTATAAATACCGCTTGATTACAGAACCGGTGTCTTTTCTGTGCAATAAAATATTGATAAAGGTTCCTGTCTTAAACTGTTAAGCCATTATCAGTGATGGCTTGGGTTTAAAAACAACTTAATAACAAAGTTTTCTTCGCGAAGTGTAGAAAAAAAGATTTAATTAACGACCAAAATTATTTGCAGATTTTCAAGTATCAAGCAAAGACGTCAGTGGCTTTTAAAAACTTTTATTTGTATTGCATTTCATATGCGTTGGTATGGTTTGCAAATATAAATCTTGAATTTCAGGGGTATATTTAGACCAATTAAGTCCGTTCACTCTAAAGTAGAGCACTTAAAACCCTATTAAATATATACTACCGAAGTGCTATATTGTATAAGACGTTTGAAGGAGTTTTGATATGCACAAAGGACATTACTTATAAATGATTAGGGAAAGTGGGAACCTTCTTAGGAATAAGTCATGAAATTTGTACATGCGTATACAGACGGATTTGGAAATCCGGATGTGTCCGCGGACTGTTTAATAATAAAACAAGTAGGCAAAAGCCGAACATGGGCACGCAATGTGTACTTTAGGTGCTACGATACTGGATTATTCACTGGGTGAGAAATTCACGTGATAGGGACGTGGTAATGTAGCAGGTGATTGATTGCCAAGGTCACTTGCATTTTGCTTCTCCATAAATTACCATGGCTGTTATTTTGAAAGGAATCATTTCATCGAGATTAGGAGACCTTGGAATCGATTATCATCGGCAGTATACCAATGCCCGCACTCGGCAGAATGGTTATGTCAAAGGCACAAGGAAAAACAAAACTGCTGTTAACAAGAATAAGCAGTGAGATTGAACTTTCACATCATTACTGATGAAAACCTGGAGTTTCCAGTTGTGGACTGAAGGTTCTCAAGCAAGCCATTTCAAGCTGTTGACGAAGGATGAATTGACAGAGTAATATCGGTGTCCCGGGAGGGGGACTCTCATATGGAGTGGACGGGGATGCTCGTCGGAAATTTTGAATTTAACCCC